CCTTAGCACCTACTACAGTGCCTATCATATGACAATAGTTCCATAGATTTTTTTATTTTTTTTATTTTTTTAGGATGTTAGGATATTTATTAATGTTCTGGTATTTAGACCATGGGACCTAGAAGAACAGACATTGTGAGACTAACTCCAAAGAATACATCTAAAAATAAGTCATACAAACACTAGAATCATCCCTTCTCCCACCATAACATTTCATAATCTCTTTTGATTTCATTAATCTCCCCATGACAACCTCTTGGAAATGGGAGGGCTGGGTCTGTCCTTGTGTTTACTTTCACTCTTAATACGAATCTGCATCCTCTGGGAGTCTTCCCCTTTCTCTTGGCTTCATTCCTAGCCTATTGGACCATTAACCTGCCTATTCCAGTGCTGGTGCATCTTTTACATATTGTACCGACAAGTTAAACAGATACCCAGAATGAGAAAAACCCTATGTATCAAGTAGGCTGTGGTACTTAATCTTTCTTGCTGTGTATATACTATTCTCAAAACATATTTTCACATGCCACATTAAAAGCTATAGTTTTAAAACACAGGATTCAGTATACTATAAATAGAAAAGGAAAGAGAGTGATAGCTTAGTTTTACAATGGGATTAGGCATATATTAAACATTATACATTAAGAAAGCCTATCAGCTCACAGTGACTTCTGCTGTAGCTGTGACTTTTGTTCAATGATGTCTGAAAAACGAGGAACTTTTTTTGAAATAACCACACGAATGTCATCGCTCATATTAAAGCTGCTTCTAGATTTTGTTTTAAAATGTAAAAGGGATGAAAATCCCAACTCACAAAGGTAAGTGGTTGCAAATGGCATAAGGATTTCCAGAGCTGTCTTTGCCAGGCTTGGAAACACTGTGAACTGAGCACACCAGAAATCCTCCAGCTTCATCGTCTCAAATTCTATTAGGATTTGGCCGCTAGCTCGCAATTCAACAATATCATTTTTCATTAAATAACCATCATCAACAAAATCCAGATTAAACAGGAATAGGAATGGGTCCAAAATCCATTTACTTGCCTCATCAAGATCTCCCATGGAAAAATACCTGTGGAAGAAGCTGCTCAACCGTTGCAGATGCAGGGTTATTTCCGTTGCCACGCAGACTGCCTCGTGATCTGAAATTATGATTTCTTCAAGAAAAGGAAAGTTGGTAATTTTTTTTTTCTCAATTCATTTTAGCCAGAATGGAAACTTCCTGACAAAAGCAGACAGCTTCTCTCTGGCTGATACTGTGTTCATGCCAGTCCTTTGCATAGATGCACTGAGTTCATTGAGGTGTTTGAACAAATCTGCAAGATATGCTAGATGAAGTTTAAACTCTATTTTCAAAGCTATCAACTAAATTACTGCTTTGGTGGTGAAGAAACTGATTTATTTCTTCATACATTTCAAAAATATGAGTCAGTATTTGGCCCCGGGAAAGCCACCTCCTCTCAGTGTGGAAAAGGAGAACACTATACTCGATTCCAATTTCTTCAAAAAAGGCCTGAAACAGGCGATTGTTGGGTTCCCGCCCTTTGATGAAATTGACCACCCTAACCACAGTAAACAGGGCTTCCCTCAGGTTCACAGGCAACGTCTTTGTGACCAGTTCATGGGGGTTCAATAAACAATGTTTGATCACGACGTGTTGAACCTCTTTCTTCACATAAGCAACAAACTGAATTTTCTCCTAGCATAGAGGAGGCCACATCAGTGCACACAGAGCCACATACATCAAGAGCTATCTTATGTTTCACAAAGAAATCTCTGAAGAGGTGGAACACATCTACTCCTTTCACTGTTAACTGCAAGGGTTCACAGAATAGGAATTCTTCTATGATCTTTCTTTTATGAATCGCACAAATGCTATTAGCTGGCTGCAGTCGTCCATGTTTGTGGTCTCAGCAAGCTGAATACCCACTTTAAGAGGACTGGCTTTGATATCTTCTAGAACTTGCTGTAAGATGTCCTGGCTCATTTCATCAATTCTGGAGTGGATCACATCATCTGATAAGGGCACCTGCTGAAGCTTCTTTTGTGCATCTGGTCCCAAAACTATTTGTGCTATTTCCAACGCACAAGGTTTCACTAATTTTTCAGCTATTGTGTAAGTATTCTCTTTGGCACATAAATACGCAAACTGATATGATGCCTGCAATAAGGCATCCTCATGAGATGCAACTCCAAATGCTTTCAAGGTTTCACTCTGGTCAGAGGGGACTGGCACGTGCTTCAGGCTGTTGAGGTCATGTCCACTCATGCCACCATGCTGTCTGTTAAAATGGTCTGACAGTTGTGATGGTCTGAGGTCAGCATTTGAAAATACGGAGTTACACAACACACACTGCGGACGCTGAGTTCCATTGACTTCCGTCGTACAGGTGAACCAGTAACGTACATAGTCATCATCCCATTTACGTTTCTTTGACATGGCACACAAAAACGCTCAGGCAGTATTCCAATGATGCTGCGGAATTGTGCTGCTATATGAGCCCGTTTAAGACAGAAGATTCATGATGACCTTAAGTTCAAAGAGTTGAGCTTCAGCCTTTTGTCAGGTGAGGTGATTATAGTGCCAACGGTGTTTGGAACCTCTACTATCGCCTAAGAGGCTTTCTTGTGTTGAGAAACTCACAGGTTTCACTTGCTCCTTCGTGGTACTTAGCAATCACAATATCCTGCGGTGGCGGCGCGGGGCGCAAGCGCAGCCTGGCCCTGGGGGCCGTGTATTGCGGGCCGCGCGTGACGGGGCGTGGGCAACGGGGCTCCGCTCGACCCTGGGCAGAGCAGGTCACGGCAAGGCTTCAGTTCTGCACTCCGCTCAGCCTGCTGCCCAGTTTGGGGCGTGGGAACCTCAGGTCAGAACCCTGAGCAGAACCCGCGTAGAGGGAGAGACACGCTCGCCCGCCGCACCCTCCGCCCCGACCGCGCCAGGTTTCCATCTGGGTCTCCGGGCGGCCTCCCACCCCTCTGCCCTGGCTGCCCCGGGCTTCCATCCGGGTCCTTCCTCCATAGATTTTTTTTTTTAAGATTTATTTATTTTTTATACAAGCACCGGGTACAGTCAGAAGTGCAGAGGGTGAGAGAATTCACCAGAGCCAGAGCGGGGAACAGAACAGGCAGACTGACGAAATACACTGCTGAGGGGAGCAGCGGGGCACTGCAGGAGAGGTCTGCGCACCATGTGGGAGCCTCGCCTGCGGCCAGGATAGACCAGTGCTGCAGAGGCTGCAGCCAGCTTCGCAGCCCAGCGCTCAACCATTGCACCACCAGGGGAGGCCCTCCATAGATTTTGAGTGAATGCATATGTATATCCTCTATAGTTGGTTCATTAATAGTTGCTCAATATATATAGTTTATATATAGTTATTATTATTGTTCCAGGGCAAATAAAACACCAGGGACAGAGCCAAGATTTACACCCAGATCTGAATCTAAATCCCATGTTCCTTTCACAATATGGCTTTGCCTACCAAAATGCCTTCTAGGCCCAGAAGTGCCACAATTTGGTTCTGTGACTTAAGATGAGACATATAGATGATGATACAAATATATAAACTGGATAGATGATGAAACAAAAAAAGGAAGGGGGGAAGTAAGGAAGGAAATTATCACTCTGAATCTCAGTTTTTCATTCTGCAAACTAAGGTAGGGATCTGTGAAGTTCAAATTGCTCTGCATGTAACCTAGAAGAGAAGAAACATGTAAGATAAGAGGAACTCTAAATAGTTACTTATTACAAATCAGTGCCATCTCTCTACAAGACAATTACACAGGTATACCAAGAAACCTTGATATTTTATGTCTCTCAGGGGCTACTGGGTTGTTTCCAAGTCTTACCTATTATAAATAGTGCTGCAATAAACATAGGGGTGCATGTATCCTTTTGAATTAATGTGTTTATGTCCTTTGGGTAGATCCCCAGGAGTGGAATTGCTGGGTCATATGGTAGCTCCATTTTTAGTAAACTTCCACACAGCTTTCCATAGTGGTTGGACTTGTTTGCACTCCCACCAGCAGTGTAGGAGAGTTCCTTTTTCACCACATCCTGGCCAACATTTGTTGTTGCTAGTTCATTTCATATGTGCCATTCTTACTGATGTAAGGTATTCTCTCATTGTGGTTTTGATTTGCATTCCTCTGATTATGGGGGATGTTGAACATTTTTTCATGTGATTGTTGGCCATTTGCATTTCATCTTTGCAGAAGTGTCGTTTAAGTTCTTCTGCCCGTTTTTTGGCTGTTTACTTTGTTTTTCTTGAGTCATGTGAGTTCTTTGTATATCTTTGTAATCAATACCTTATCAGTTGCGTGGAGTGTGAAAACTTTCTCTCAATCAGTGGGATGTCTCTTTGTTTTGATTAATGTACTTTTGCTGTACAGAAGCTTTTTTTAATTTGATGTAATCCCAGGTGTTTATCTTTTCCTTCATTTTTTTTTTTGTTATGGGGGATGGGCTTTAAAGATGTTGTTTATATGTATGTCTTGTAATGTTTTACCTATCTTTTCTTCTATGTATTTTATGGTTTCAGGTCTTATGTTCAGTTCTTTTATCCATTTGAGTTGATTCTTGTGCATGGTGTGAGGTAGTGGTCTAGTTTCATTCTGTTGCATGTGGTGGCCTAGTTTTCCCAGCATAAGGTGGGAGTATTTTGTTGTGAAGACTTTGAGAGGCTATTTAGCATCTTTGGCCCATGTACAGTAAATATCAGTAGTATTCTTGAATCAACCTGACAGCTAAAACACCCCACATCTGCAAATGCTCTATAAGGAAAAAAAAATTATCCACATTTGAAACCCACTGAACTTTTATCTCAGAAGGATCTCTTAATCTCTTAATTGTATTGTAATGACTCCAGGTTGCCTCTCTCAAGAGTGGGGAGCTTAGAAAGATGGAGTAGGAAGGTAGCCTTGATTCAGGACCTAACTGTACTCCATTCCCATTTTCCTCCCTCTCTTGCTGGTCTGTTCCCTGTTTTGGGGGCATTTCAGGAATAAGACCCTACAGATGGAGAAGATCAAGGCCCGTTTGAAGGCTGAGTTTGAGGCTCTTGAGTCAGAGGAGAGGCACCTGAAGGAATACAAGCAGGAAATGGATCTCCTACTACAGGAAAAGATGGCCCATGTGGAGGAACTCCGATTAATCCATGCTGACATCAATGTGGTATGTGACTGGCTATCTAAAGCCTATCTCCGGCCCTTTGTGGAATAGGTAGTAATGAGTATTTTGGCTTCTCCTTGAGATGTGACTGTGGCCAACTTGGGGGAGTAGGCATCAAGTGTGGTGCAGTGGAAGAATCCAGGAGTTCCAAGAACTAGCCCTGCCTCTGTCACTGTCTGTTGTATCACTGGAGAAGTCCTTTCTCTCTGGGCCTCTTTCTCTCTTTATAGTATATGAGAGGGAATCAATCACCTCTAAGGTCTCTTTTAACTCCGATATGTTCTCATTCTTGGAGTCTGGGAATTAAGAATTAGCCTTTGGGAAAAGTAGAATAGGCAGCCACCTCTAAGGTCTAGCTTCCAATGAGGCCAAACAATTTCTTCCTACCTGCCAAAGCTGGGTTCCCTCAGTAGAATCTCTCCTTTGGAGACTCTTGGAATATGAGGAATGCACTGTTTGCTAATGTGGTAACTTCCTCACCCTTTGGAGTTATTCAAGTAGAGTATAAGTTGCAATAACTGTCTCAATTGCAATAACTGATGATTCTTATGATTTGTTCACTAACAGGGAGGTAAGAGGTGCTGACATGTAAGGTCATTAGGACCTATGACAATGAGAAGTACTTTTTTAAGAATTGCATTGAAAAAATTAAGTGTCTTTTTTGGGGGAAATTTATTTCCCTGGTGATATTTATTGACATTGTCATGTCTAGGATCTTAAAAGAAATATGAATGAGATTTGGACAGTAAGTACATGGGATTTTCTGTATTATAGACCACAGCATTCCTGGGTTTCAGGGGGAGTTGTCCGTTTTTCTGCCTGTTAACCAAGGATAAAAAGCCAATGAAATGTACCAGACATTAGCTATAGAAGGCCTGAGATTCTAGTCCAGTATTTCTGAAGCTTGAACATGCATCAGAATTACCTGGGGAGCCTGTTAAAATACAGATTGTTGGATTCCATCCCAGAGTTTCTTTTCTTTTTTTTTAAGGAATTTTTTTTAAAGATTTATTTATATTTTTATACAAGAACTGGGGTACAGGCCAGAGATGCAGGAGGGTGAAGAGGATTCACCAGAGGCAGAGCAGGGAGCAGAACAGGCAGACGACAGAAATACACTGCTGAGGGAAGCAGCAGGCGAGACAGGAGAGGTCTGCCGCACCATTTGGGATTCTCGCTGGCCAGGATCGAACCCGCACTGCAGAAGCTGCAGACTGCTTCAGAGCATGGCGCTCAACTCACTGTGCCACCGGGGAGTCCCCATCCCAGTTGCTGATTCTATATACCTGGGGGGAGGGAGTCTGAGAATTTGCTTTCCAGGAGAAAGGCCACAGGCATAGGAGGCAGAAACCCTGAGTCTTTATCTAGGATTTGTGTTTAAGATATATTTTTCTGAGAAAGTTTCTTTTCTCTGTCAATTCTCTGACTTGTAAAAGGGTGGTGGGGTGGACTAAATGAGCTCTAAGAGCCAGCCATTCCAGCACTAAAATTCTATATTTGAGCAATAAATTACCATTTATTGATTCTTTACTCTGTTGTAGTTCCTGTAATGAAAGTTTAATATAAACTTATCATTAAATCTTCACGAAGATTATATGAAGTCAGCATTATTATTATCATCACCATTTTACAGATGAAGAAACTGAAACGTGACAAGAGTCACATAGAATACATGGTGGAAGGACTTGATCATCGAATAGTCTGGCTCTGGAACCTGTGTTCCAGACTCAGCTGTACCATTTCCCTGAGTATCTTGAGGTATGTGCCTACATCACTCTGTGTTCCAGATGGAAAACACCATCAAACAGTCAGAGAATGACCTGAACAAGCTGTTAGAGTCTACCCGTCGGCTACATGATGAGTATAAGCCATTGAAGGAACATGTGGATGCCCTGCGCATGACTTTGGGCCTGCAGAGGCTCCCTGATCTTTGTGAAGAGGAGGAGAAACTCTCCTTGGAGTAAGCTGCCTGCCCCCTGCCCCTGCCATATCCCCCCCACACACACACACTCACACACATGCATGCATGTGCACACACACACACACACACATAGATGTATGTATATGCATAAAGCCTGGACTGAAAGTCAGGATGCCCAGTCCTAGCCCTGACCTGCCAATGACTAACTCATTGCATGACCTTATGCAAGTCTCTGTGCTGGGCTGTTACATCAAAAGGATGATTAGACTAGAATTATTGATGGCTTTTAAAAATCTTCGTGTGATTTTGACAGTACAAGACTACATATGTGACATTTAAGAGCTCACTTCCCAAGTCAGGTTTTTGAAAGAGTGTCTAGAAACCTTTAAAAGCACGTAAGACTGAGATTGGAATTTCACCTTAGGATCTGGAGTTAAAAACTGGGCTTACCTTACAAAGAGGTTCAACTCAATAGAATGAAACATACTTTCTTAAGGCAGAGCAGGCTGCCTGTGGAAGAGGTGAGCCTCAGCAGAGACCTGAGGACACTTAATAGGAAGACTGCTGGGACAGAGGGTAGGTGAATGCCCTTTAAGGACTTTACTACCCTTAGGATATCCTGATCTTCTGGATCTGTCAGATTCAAGGAGCAGGAAGATCATTCTTCCCAGCAAACAATATGCCTGATACCCAGGAAGAAGAACCTTATACTGGTGAGGGTGCAGAAGCTTTCCATAGTGAGCCATAGCCCAATACCCTTGGTTTCATGACATGGAGTCCTTACAAGGGGCACAGTTCTTGTTTTCAACATGATATAGCTAATGTCTCTCATCTCCAAAGTTACTTTGAAAAGCAGAAAGCAGAGTGGCAGACGGAACCTCAAGAGCCCCCCATCCCTGAGTCCCTGGCCGCTGCTGCCGCTGCCGCCCAACAACTCCAAGTGGCTAGGAAGCAGGACACTCGGCAAACAGCAACCTTCAGGCAGCAGCCCCCACCTATGAAGGTGAGTGAGTTGTATAAGGATTTTGGAGGAAGCAAGGTATCCGTAAGAAGCCCCACCGAAGGTTGGGTCTTGGTCTCTGGCCTTATTAATATAGGGCTTTTCAAAATAGCCTTTGTGTGGGACACAGAAGTAAGAGATGGTATGTATGCGCTATATGGACCCACTGGTTTTGTTGTTTCACATTCCAGAGAGGTTAGAATGCACAGATATTAGAAGGCTCTGCTAAAGTATACTTTTCAAAAAGTCAGAAATGATTCATATAGAATATCCTCTGGCCTACACCCCAGTTCTTGTGTGCATAAATAAATATTAAACAAAGAGAAATGATTCATATAGATATATAGTGAGCATAATTCATTAATATTCATTAATGAAGGATTACAAAACTGATTCCAAGAGCATTTGAGGAATAGGTAATTATATAGTCAGAAAAGGAAAGGAATGCAGAAATAAGTCTGCAGAGTAAAGTATAGAATAGTTTAATGTCCTACAGTGCAATAAAACTGTAACCTTTGTGGTTGTATTCTTTTTTTTTTTTTGAATAGAAGTCTGCTTCTACTGGGTGAAAAGTCAGAGTCTGGGCCCTGATCCATAGTGAATAATCAAACAAATGGACATTCTCTAACCAAATTAGAGCCTATAGGCCAAGTCTGACCTGCTTCCTGTTTTTGCGAATAAAGTTTTATTGGCCTACATGCATGCCTCTTTGATGATATAATGTCTGCAGCTTCTTTCATGTAAGACAGTTATTGTTGAGTAGTTGCAACTAAAAACATGACCTGAGGGCCTCCCCTGGTGGCTTAGTTGTTGAGCGCTGGGCTGTGAAGCTGCCAGCAGCCTCTGCAGCACCCGTGAGATCCCCGGCCACAGGTGAGGGTCCCACATAGTGCACAGACCTCTCCTGCCGTGCCCGCTGCTCCCCTCAGCAGTGTATTTCATCAGTCTGCCTGTTCTGTTCCCTGCTCTGGCTCTGGTGAATTCTCTCACCCTCCCTCGCTTCCGACTGTACCCAGTGCTTGTATAAATAAAATAAATAAATCTTTAAAAAAAAAAAAAAAAAAAACATGACCTGAAAAATCTGAAATATTTACTATTTTGGTCTCTATGGAAAAAATGTATTGATACCTGTCCTAGATTATTAAATAATCCTTGAGTGGGCCTGTTAGACCATGTTTCAGTATAATGCTGAAAGGGTATATGGTTCTCATTTTGCTTTTCTCCAAGCTTTGGATATTTACCCTCTTTGACCCTCACTGCCATATATCCTTTACATCCCTTATATCAAGAAATGATTTCTACTCAGATCTCACTGATAACTGCTCCTTCCTGCTGAGAAATCGTAATTACTTTCTGGATCCCTGGAGACTACAAGGCTGAATCATGGCCTAGAAGAATCTGACCACTAACTTTATTTGTCTTGTGTCCCCAACTAGGCCTGTTTGTCATGTCATCAACAAATTCACCGGAACGCACCTATATGCCCTCTGTGCAAAGCTAAGAGTCGGTCCCGGAACCCTAAAAAGCCAAAACGGAAGCAGGATGAATGAAGAAAAGGAGAACATAGAGCTCCACTGCTCATAACCCCTCCCTTTGCCAGAGTGGTTGATGTCCTGATGTTAAACAACACTTCCCCACCTCTACCAAGTCTCCTCTATAATGTGATGGAAGCACAACGCCATTCACACTTAGTTCTTATTTCTTTTTGCTCTTGGGGTTTTTGGTTTAGGAAGAGATATAGTTCAGGTGCTAACGTCAATGTGTTTGATTACTTTCTCTCCCGTCTACATTTCCATGTCTGCCCTTGTTTGGAGCTGAAAGAAGGGCAGAAGGCCCAGATATGATTCTTTGTCTCTTGTGAATAAGACCTGGGGCCTAAGGTCTGAGGGCTCAGGGCCATCCATAATTTGTTTCATGTGAAGACTTGAGTTTCCTCCTCCCTGTATTTTTGCCTTAGATTCAGAAGGGACAACAGTCTTAACGGACTTTCCAATAGGCTTGATGCATACATCTTGCCACCCCTCCTCATCTCATCTTCAAGGTCCAGAGGGAGCTTACATAAGCCCTCCTTTTCATATTCATTTGGAAGACCTGTCTCTTATAGAGTTCACCCTCATTCCTGGTATCTCAGATATACTAAAATTCTTAGTTAGTGGGCTGTGTGTCCGAGGGTCCTGATATCTGTGGGCCTTTACTCCATATCCCTACTTTTTGCAAATCAGTAATAGAATTTATGCACAGTGAAATCTGGAAACCAGATCCACTCCACAAGTCCTGCCTAAGTTGATGCGGTAAGGCATTGGATTGAGGACTCTGCTGTACAAGCTACCTTAGGCTGAGAGGATCCCCAGGCTAACAATATCTGTGTTTTGCCTTTTTATTTTTTTTTTTTTTTCAAAATCATCACTCCAGTATTTTACTCAGTGTTGTATCTTTGGAATCACACAAGTTAGTTAATATTCAAGTGAGTGCAAATCACTTGACAATTTTACACATGCAGGTGAGTAAGATTTGCCCTCCAGTCAACATTCCCTCTTTTGGGTTTTTCCCCTTCTATAAGACAGTATCAGCTCAGGTCAGCTGCTGGCCATCCCTTTCCTATGGATTATGCAAGTGGCCTTCCCTCCCTAAAGAAAAATATACCAGCTCCCCAAGCCCTAACAACTCTCTAATTAAGTCAATGTCAGACTTAAGAAATAGGGATGGGGCTGTCTGACTGAAAAATTTTAGTTCCACATCTTAGTCCTTGGCTGGGGAGGGGAGATATTTTTCCTTCCTTAATTGTAGTTTTAAGTTGTCACAGTGACTGTGTGTTCATAATATAAAGCGTTCCTTTGCTCATTGAAAAATAAGATATATGTCTGTACAAATCCTTTTAAATAAACATTTGTTCATTGGAGTAATGCTGACTGGATGCCTGCAAGTATCAGATGTAATGCCTTTTCCCCTCCTGGGGGAAAAGCAACTCTACTTCTTGGTGGGAGGAACTGTGTATGTCAGCGATGAGGGGGATTGTTGGCCATATTTGCTTTTTTTTATTATTTATTTATGTATATATTTTTGTTTTTTTGCTAATTCTTTTTTTTAAGATTGATTTATTTATTTATACAAGCACTAGGTACAGTCAGAAGCGTGGGAGGGTGAGAGAATTCAGCAGAGCCAGAGCAGGGAGCAGAACAGACAGACTGACGAAATGACGAAATACACTGCTGAGGGGGAGCAGCAGGTGACAGGAGAGGTCTGCGCGCCATGTGGGACCCTCACCCGGTGGCCAGGGATCGAACTGGCGCTGCAGAGGCTGCAGGCAGCTTCGCCACCCAGCACTCAACCGCTGCGCCACCGGGGAGGCCCTAGGTAAATATTTTTGTACCCTCCTCTCAGTTGTAAGTCCTGTAAAGTTCTACCACCAATTCACCCATGAACCATCATCATAATCCCTTGTGCTCTTCCTGCACCCTGTTTTGATTCCTTCCCCTCCCTGTCCCCTGCAGTATGTCTCTGATTAATAGTTGCCTGCTATTTTTATTAATTATTATTTTTCCTCATTCCTTATTGGTTCCCCTATATTCCTCCTATAAGTGAAACCATCTGGTATTTTTTTTCCTTCTGACTTATTTCAGTGAGCATAATCTTTTCCAGCTCCATCCATGTTGCTACTAATAGCATGAGTTTATATTTTTTACATCATTTTTCATTTTTGCATAATGTATGCATTTGCATCTTGGTTATAGTCTCCGAAAATTCCCACTACCATTGTTTGGATTCTACTCCATTCTCCCCCCATGTAGTGTGTCTCTGGTTTATAGTTACCTGCTGATTTTGATTTTTACTTTATTATAATTAGTCTTTTTCCTGATCCCTTATTTGGGTTTTCTAAATTCCTGCTATTCCTTGTATTTTTCTCGTTCTTTCTGGCTTATTTCACTGAGCATGATCCCTTCCAGCTCCATCTATGTTGCTGCAAATGGCCTGAGTTTATCTTTTTTGATTGCTGGGTAACATTTCATTGTGTATATATACCACATCTTCTTGATCCACTCGTCTATTTTTTTTGGCATTTGGGTTTCTATATCTTACCTATTGTAAATACAGCTGCAATAAACATAGGGGTGCAGGTATCCTTTTGAATTAATGTTTTTGTGTTCTTTGGGTCGATTCCTAGGAGTGGAATTTCTGAGTCATATGGTATCTAATTTTTTAGTAATTTGAGGAACCTCAGCACAGCTGTCTTAGTGGTTGGACCAGTTTGCATTGCAACCAGCAGTGTAGGAGAGTTCCCTTTTCTCCACATCCTAGTGTTGGTCATATTTGCAGACAATTGACTACATCGTCCAGCAACAACCTTGCAAGGAAGATGTTATGAGTGTCCATTTTTACAGATGATAAAAATGAGACTCAAAATTGAAAAAGTTTTTGTCGATGAAGCTAGAGTCAGACACATGTCTATCTGCCTCTAAAACCTGTGTTCCTTTTGCCTACGTGCCTACAGGTAAGTCTGAGACCTGTTTAAGGGATAATAAAAAATGGAAGAGAAGGAATAAAAGTAGAATGAATGAAAAAGAATAAGGCAAGGGGATGCAGGAGAGAGATCGAGAAGGAAGAAGAGAAGGTAGGAGTACTTATTTGTTAATTTGGTAAAATGCTTTCTACTTAAAGTACCTTCTTCAAATTCTTATTTAATGCTTACAGTAAAAACCTGCATTGTTAGTAAAGTATGTATTAATATCATTCATATACAGATGAGACCCAGAGAGAGGAACAGACTTGCCCAAGTTCATAAAGCAGGCTAAGAGCAAAGCCATTGCAAGACCCCAGGTCTTCCTGTCTGGGAATAACTTAGTTGGGACACTCTCCATGCTTGACAGAGTGAGGATGAATTGTATACATACTTTGTACCACAAGTTGCTTTTACACTAAAAATAGGATCTCCACAGGGGAGATCTAGCTATTCTGGGCTAGTTCAAGTTCGCTATTGGTCAAGTTCGCTATTGCTATTATGCCCTTAGATTTCCCATAGTAACAATCAGTATCTTTGCAATGATCAACAGTTCCCAAGGAGACTGGGAAGGCTATTAACTCGAGTCATATTATTTACTTAATTTCTCATGGTCTCTATTTTCCTATGATAGACTAGTTGTAATTGTCATAGTATTGCTGTGAAAATTAAATGAGTTAATACATTAAAGTGCCTAGAACAGCACCTGACCAGCATAATGGTAGTTATGAAGAAGAAAGTAATTATGACTGGCTTCTTTAGAAGCCAATAACAATGACTAGAGAGGGAGAAACAAGGAGGAGAAGGGAGGAAGAAAAGGGAGAAAGAAGTGACAAATAGAATTCCAAGCATGTGCAAAGATCAGAGGGTACAATAAGTAAGATTGCCCAGTGTAAAGCTGAGAGCTGAGAGTCATGAATCCCTTATTGGAGCTTGATGAAATGCAGATTCTGTTGCCACTGGCCACTGAGTCTGTTTAATGATTGTCTAAGCCACAGGCCCTTCTTATGCACTGGGAAGAATCCCTCTTTCCACCACATTGTTTTCTGTTTGTGGCGGGGAAGGCAAAAACATCCATAAAAAAGAATTCCCCATAGGTAGTCTAGGATTTCTTGCAGTATACAAGGAAAAGACACTGACCCAGGAGCCATTTATTCCTGGATTCAAATCTCAAATAGCTGTCAATTTTTGAGCAAATTATCAAACATCTATGGCTTCCAATTTCCTTATCTCTAAAAGGAAATTGGTGTATGTATGTAGTTACAGTGAAAATAATAATATCTTCTGTGTAAAGTGACAGTGAACAATTTACAAACCATTCACTGGATGCTCATAATTTAGTAAACATTGTAAGAAGTAAACACAGCAATCATGTGCTTTCATGTACTTCACTACACTATATGGGAAGTAGCATAAGATCATGGATACTAAAGCCAAAGACTGAATTCAACTCTCAGCAATGCCATTGCTAACTGTAACCATCAGGAAACTCATTAACTTCTTGAAACATCAGCTGTTCAATGGAGGTAATAAAATTTACCTCATTAGATTGTGGAGGATTAAATAGGTAACATGTATAAAGTGCACATAGAAAAATTTGTGTTTGATCGACAAGTAAAATCACATCTTCCTAACAACACCTGGTGTCATGAACTTGGAGACAGAAAATTGAAAAATGCCTTCCAATATGGATCTATCTACACACTAAACCACAAGAATGCTTAGAAGAATGTACTGGTGTATGAAATTTGTTTAGAAATGCATCAAAACTTAGGTGGATTGGTGGATGTATAGAAGGACAGATATGTGATAAAGTCTAGTAAATACTAATTGTAGGATCTAGGTTGAGCCATATGAGTGTTAGCTATGAAATTTGCTATATATTTACATTTTTTCACAATAAAATATTGGGAAGTTATTTTTTTCTTTTTCCTTCTGACTTATTTCGCTGAGCATAATCCCTTCTAGCTCCATCCATGTTGCTACTAATGGCATGAATTTATTTTTTTAAGATTAATTTATTTATGCATACAAGAGCTGGGGTACAGAACAGAGATGTGGGGTGGGGGGAGATGGTGAGAGGATTCACCAGAGACAGAGTGGGGAGCAGAACAGGCAGACGGGCTGAAACACAATACTGCGGGGAGCAGTGGGTGAGACAGGAGAGGTCTGCCTCGCCATGCGCGTCTCTCCCTGGCTGGCCGGGGATCGAACTTGTGCTGCAGAGGCTGCAGACTGCTTCACAGTGTGGTGCTCAACCCCTTGCGCCACCGGGGAGGCCCTGAATTTATATTTTTTGATTGCTGAATAGTATTCCATTGTGTGTATATATATCATATCTTCTTGATCTAATCATCTATTTTTGGGTATTTTGGTTGTTTCCATATCTTACCTATTGTAAAGAGAACTGTAATAAACACAGGAGTGCAGGTATCCTTTTTAATTAATGTTTTTATGTCTTTTGGGCAGATTCCTAGGAGTGGAATTGTTGTGTCATATGGTAGCTCCATTTATAGTAGTTTGAGATATAGTATGGTTTCACTTATAGGAGGAATATAGGGGAACCAAATAAGGGATTGGGAAAAAGTAATAATAATAATAATAATAAAGAACAAAATTAGCAGGCAACTATCAATCAGAGACTCTCTGCAGGGAGGGGGATGGAGAGGAGTCAAAACAAAGGAGGGAAGAACACAAGGGTGCACAGGTGAATTGGTGGTGGGAATTTTACGGGGCTACACCTGAGTCGAGAAAGCATACATTGTACACAAATTAATAATGATAAAAATATATCAAGGTATAATTGACATAACATTATGTTGGTTTCAGATGTACAACATAGTGATAAGATTTGTATATATTGCAATATGATGATATACAATCTCTTGAGTCTCTCTAATCATACCTAATTACAATTTTTTTCATGTAATGAGAACTTTTATGATCTATGCTCTAGCAATATTTTTCTTCTTTTTAAACTGTTTTTAATCCATATCATAATCAGGCCTCTGGGCAGTTTGAGATCTGACTGACTGACTTACTCTGCCATCTGTACAGATGCTGTCCCTTTTGGTGATGGGGTGCAAGTGTGTACAGAATCTTCTCCACATTGTTGTTTTTATCTATTATATCTGCATCTTTCTCCATACATCATCACACTCTGACTTTTGAGCTCAGAATCCCACAACATTGATATTACCAAGCACACTGAGATACTGTCCTTGTTCTCTGGATCCTGCTGTCAACCCTGACTCCATGCCATTCTTCTGCAATCTGATCAAGTAACCATATTACCCACCAAGAGGAATCTGTATTCAATCCAGAAACAGAAATAATGGCTTCTATTTTAATCCAAAAGGAGTGGGAACAAATGTTTGTACTGACAACCCCTAAAGAAAATGATGGGCAAACCTAGGAAACCACAAAGGTACTGGTGGCTGTTTATCTGTTCCCAGGAGAGGAGTCTAGAGGGAAGTATACTATTTAATGCTACTCTGGCAGGATGTTTGTTTTAGCTTGTCAGACTTTGTTTTA